ACTCACAATTTTGCTTATGCAAACCCTAAGACATTTATACTTCTGAGACTGCAATCCTATGTATGCTTACTTAGGAGTAAGTGCAGTTAAACAGAAAAAGACATACAAAATATGAAGAGTTTTGTCTTTGTAAACATCTGTAGAATTGTTCTGTTATATTCATAAATATGCTAAATGACATAATATACAAAACTGTATTGTTTAATAACAAAAGAAGCATTATGTGCATTTCTACATTTATTTATTTATATTGCAATTTATATCCTGCCTTTTTCCTACAAAGGGCTCAAGGCAGCTTACATCATTCTCTTCCTCCATCTTATCCCCACAACCACCACCACCCTGTGAGGTAGGCTGGGCTGAGAGTGTGTGACTGGCCCAAAGTCACCCGGTTGGCTCCATGGCTGAGCGGGGACTAGAACCCAAATCGCCTGAGTCCCAGTCCCATGCTCTTAAACCACTACGCCACACTGGCTTTTCTGGATGCTTCCATTAATTTGGGAAATGTTCATTCCACAATGTGACCAGTGCAGTTCCTGTTTCAAAACCAGGATGCAATTCTGACCAAAATGAATCCAGTTACTCATTATGTACCTTGAAAGAAAGAAAACTCTGTCATAGTCTGAATTTATTTTCAGGCAAGTGTACAGCTGCCTTTTGCCCCTTCCCGAATCTTGTTCATCATATAAATAAGAGTCCTGCTTTAATGGTTATGAGCCTTCTGTTCTAGCAAGATCTCAACAGCAGTTGGTGGGTAGCAGAGGAGAACAAATGCAATAATGTTTTTGCATTTTTAAAAATTCTCACTAGGAAATATGCCTGTATGTTTGTTTCATCCTTGCTGCATAATTGTACTTTGGTTTTATGCTTCTATTTTGGAACAATTTATGATTGATAATAAAACTGGAATCTGTTGGAATGCATATAGCTGCTTTGGGTCAGGAGAAGTAGCATTTTAACTAGAACTGGGGAAAACATGAGCAACTGTTACAGAGACCAACATAAAGCAGATAGTTGTCTAGAAAGAATTAGACAAATTCTCTCCCTCTCCCTCTCTCTTTTTGTGGCATTTCCAAAACTAGCCAGTTTCTGTGTCTGTTTTAAATATTGATGCAAGCCCTTGAAAAACTTCTTGCAAAGTGAAATGCATCCCTGAGTCATCATGTGTACATGTCTGCACATGAGAAGGAAAGAAGCATACAGAACTGTTATGTATGACTATCACACCGGTATTTACCGTAATGCAATTATACTTTTGGTAGCTGTGGGCTCTTCCCTGCATTCTTGTGGCAATAAGTGCACACTCTGTCTTCATTCTCACACCCTCCCTCATCCCTGCCACTGGTAGCTGTGTATGTGATTTCACTTGAACACAAGGCCATGCTGTATCCTTATCAGCTGGAATTCGAAGAACAGCAAAGAGCGTTTGGTATGTCACGGCACCTGAGGGCTTGTTTGCTTACACAGTCCTCGCTCATCCCTGCATGCCACATGGCAAACTTCTCTTGGAAAGCAGGGGATTGTCAAGAGCAGGTTTTGAACGGAGGCATATGGGGAAATCTTGTGTTCGGGTAGATAGCTGAATATAGAAAGATATGTATGCATGCATGAAATCTTGCTAGGTATGCCGATCCTGTTGAGTGGGCCCAACGTAGCGCTCTGGGTTCCAGCTAGCATTATTGTAAAAGTGGCCAGCTCTATTCCAGGTTGAGTTCAAGTTCAGGATTCAGCTCTCTGGCAAGAGTGCATGAGCTCAGTGACGGCACTGCCTATCTTGCTATGATTAATTTCTGTTCTTATTAAGCAGTCCTTCTGAGTTCGTTCAAAACCTTTTTCCATATCAGGTTGTCAACAGCAGATTTAGACTGTGGGTAAAGGTAGACATTGCAAGTGAAGTGTATCGGTACACTTTTTTCCATTTCCAGTTTTTAATAGCTGTGTGTTGATAATGTCAGCCTACTTTGCGGCTGCAACAATATGAGCTGCATCTGTTGGTGTAGGCACAGCCATCCTATGAGGGCACAAAGCTTGTAAATATCGCTGGTGACACAACATGGAACAGTTGTGCTGGGACCATCATGTACCAATAAAGCATTTGCATCTGATTGTGGATATATTTTTCTTTTCAAGACCATTGTTTATCAAGTGCCCCAGCTCCCCGTGGCTATTTTCATCTACTCTAATTAGCCAGATAGGCCAATTTAGTGTGGGATAAGTTTCCTTCCACCTTTCCTAATGGTTGTTGCAACCCACTGACACATACTAATTAAAGGGTCTACATGGAGAGCTACAGCGGAATGATTCAGAATGATCACAGCTGGAATAAATGGGATGTTATGCCAGAGATCACTGAATGCTTCAAACATGCCAACGTTGTTTTCTTGTTGTCATATGATTGGAAATAGGCTTCTATCTCTCATTTACTTTAATGGTTGTATCCAACAGATCTGCATGGTTCAGTGTGAAAAGCCTGAATCTCTATATGAGTAACATAAGAGGTCACAGTGAGGAAGCCAGGATCTTTCTGCTTAAGTTTCCACCTTATTTTGAATGGAGAGCTAATAGGATCTATCTTCTCCGCAGGCTCAACTTCCATCAATATTCCATAAACCTTTATAATTCTTACGTCCACGCTAGGCAATTTTAGAGGATTCCTTTTTCTTTTAGTTTATAAATGCACCTACTTAATTTCGAAGGATCCCCAAGCATGTAGAAACTACTGCCTTTTTGTTTCACTCCCAAATTGACAGGAACCCAGGGACACTTACAGAATTAGGGCACTGGCCCTAATGGAAATGGAAATGTTTAAGCATAACCATTACCTTGAAGCAACTTTCCCCAACCTGGTACCTTCCAAATGTTTCAGAATATAACCCAGCTCACATGTGACAAAAACCCATGGGTTGTCAGGGCCACACGACAGTGGGGGAACACAAAAGGTATCCATCATTTATGGCTCTTTCTGAGAGCAGTTGAGATGTGGATTGTTTGTGAGAGACTGGGAATGTGAATGGGGGCCTTCTTAAGTCTCACTGTGTGAATACTAAGGGATTTAGCATGTGCACACACCTACAACCATCTCAGAAGCTGGCAGGAAAGAAATGAGGCTCTTTTTTCCCTTTCCTGTAATGTCTCCCCATCACTTAACAGATCTGAACTACAGCTCAAGAATCTTGTTCCTGGCTGACTGGAACCCGGAGCAGACTGCTGCTCTTTGGGTTTGGATGTACATGGCAACATTTGTTGCAGCTTCTACTTACAATCTGTATATATTGGTGTTGACATGAATTTGGCCTAAGTTACTCAGTGTTGTGGTGACTGCTTCTGATGTGTAAATTTGAGGGAGGTGTGTTTTTCCACACTGCTTCAGGGAATAGGGCAGTCTTTCGTAGCTTGGTACCTTCCAGATTTGCTTGATGGGGATTCTGAAGTTTGTTTACAAAATGTGTAAAGCACTGTATATTTATGGAGGATTCTTGGGTAGTGAAGAGTATGGGGGAACATGCAACATAGTTATTCGAATTACGCCGATACTTAATGAAATTATACTAATAAAGACATGGCTGGTCATATAGAAAAGCTTGTTGAAAATCAAAATGACCTTAGTAGAAGTTGTAGTTCTTCTAGAAGGTACCAGGTTGTGTAAGGCTAAGATAAGGAACTGAAATAACGTAGATGTTCAATATAAGAACCTTCTTGATGAAATTCAAGGACAGGGAGAAAATATTCCTGGCTCCTGTTTAAATTTTCATTTACTGTTGAGATCAGGTCTCTCAGATCCATTTTGTAATGACTGGCTTCGCAGAAGTGGTAGCATCTTCCTGATTACACAGGGCTTTGAAAAGGCTAGAAATACATAAGTATGAATACTACCAGTCAGAGTACATTATGCAAATGAAGATGGTAGAAGATTATCTGGAAACTCTGGAATCTTTTTTACATGAAATGATAAAGATCAAGCATCCCTTTACTGTTTCCAGTACTGCTAGTTTTTTCCCCTTTGTTCTCAGTTGACACCAAAATGGTAAGATTGGGCTGTGTTAAATTCTGTGTTTGCCCTAAGCCTATATTTTAGTATAGTTTTTAATATCCCTTTGGTCTAGATTCAAAGCTGATGGTATTCCTGTAGAGATGGGATGCACAGGGTTTCTTAAATTAATTCTGTTTGTGTTTGTAAAAGGCATTTGAGTTATCCTTTACAGGTATGGACTTTGGTGATGGTGTGATGAAGCCTGGTTACAAGACTGTTCCCTAACAGTGTCCATATCCACAGGATTTGTCAACCCCTTGAACAAAAACAATTTTTAATCATGACAACTGAGCAATGAATTGCGGCAAGCTGGAGGAATAAAATGACTAAAACATTGTATTTAGGGAATGGGAACATCTTGTGCAAGGCGTAAGGATTCAGCCCAGCACCTCTGCAGAGGTGCCTCAGGGACACTTGAGATTAGATTCTGGCTCAGAGGAGGAGGTGACTGAGGCTTCAGAGCCAGAGCATCTGGAGTTAGGTGGAAGATTGCTGATAGCCCATTAAACCTTTCTGAAACCATGGGAATGTTGACGCAGAGCAAAGAGAAGCAAGAGGAGAAACAACTAAATGTCCCACTTCATGCTGCTTCTCCTTCCTTGTTTGATATGTAACCCTGGGTTCCCATGGTGGTTTGGGCGCCCTCTCTTGGCCCTACCTACTCCCCACCCCAAGGTTGGGGCCTCCACCCCAGGCACCCAGGGGCCCTGAGGTCAAGGGTGCTACTGGGTACTTGGTGTGGAAGTCCCTGCCTCTAATAACATAGACCATGGTAAGGGGTTGGGAGACAATCTGGCCTTCAGGGGAATATGGTTTCCCAACCCAGCATCAAAGTTTAATCAGCCCAGAGGTAGTCAAGTTGCAGGTCAGGTGGATCTTTCTTGAAGAAGGCTCTATAGAATTGGACCGTAAGACATTTTGTAATGAAGAGTCGTGCATGAGAAGTACTGTTTGTTTTTCTCCGTTGCAGGGTATCAACGAGCCTCCCCACACAGCACTGGCTTTGAGCTATGATGCAACAACTGTGAAGGAGAAATATGAGCACCAGCCCATGCATCGTCTGGAATATGAAAATGAGCTGTCCATCAGGATAGGTAGAACAGCACTCCATTCAGGCAAGCATCCTGTCATACACCATGCCCAAAGTCAAGCTCTGTTTTTCATAGAGTTTGCTCTATTTTTGCACGTTGCTCTATTTTTCATAAAGAATACCTTAGATACAAACACGCGCACACACCTCTCTCTATATGTGCATGTACACGCATTTTAAACAATTCTCTTTTTTCATTCGGTAAACTGGACTGTGGCAAGGCTGCTTCTTATTTCTTTTTTCTTTCTCCAAACTGCTTCCATGGGCCATAATATTTGCTCAACATATTGCTGATTAGACAGCTCATTTACCTTTATTTAAATTAGGAGGCATCCAACCTGTGTTGAATGAGGTGTTCTCTTTCTTTAGTAGTTGAGCAATTGAGGGAATTAAAACTGTGTGGCTTTTCAGCCCTTCCAGCACTGTAACAGGAGAAGCTGCACTGGTTACAGTTTCCTTAGCAAGCTAGCAATTAAATTTAGAGAAGCTCAAATCTTGAATAGATTGGCAGTCCCCCTTGAGGGGAGTAAAAATCTGATGGGGTTCCATGCCCCCCCCCCCCCGGCCCTCCAGATTCCAGTTTACTGGCTCTGGATTTCAGTTTGCCAACAGACTTCTATATCTAAGGTATGTTGTTATCTAAACATGAAAAAGAAGAAAAATGTTGAAACTTGTTCAACTTGGAAGCTAAAAACTCCAGCATTCTGGTACAATTTGGACAAGTTTCCTTATCAGTGCATGTGGTGTTTTTTCTTTTTAGGGGCAAATCTCAGTTTCTTTTAGAGATAGAAGTCAGTAACAAATGTCATCTGCTTGACTATTTGATCAGGGGCAGGCAGCAAAACTATCAAGCACAAACCAACCAAATTTCCTAATTTCAGTACATTCCTAAGTCCACAGCTATTATGGCTGCTTAGCTATGTGGAATCTTCAAGTTGGAATTCATGCTGTAATCAAATAAACTTCTCACTGTGCTTTGAATGAAGATCATTAAATAGCTAGGTTTATAAACCTACATGCAGTCCTTGTACAGTAGTTTCAGTTTGGTTCCCTTCAGTATTTGCTATGGACTTGCAAGGGATCCAAGATCTTGCAAATGCTTCAATACTGCCCCTAGTTTTCATTTTCTGCTGCTGCAGTTTACATAGGGACCATAGAAACATAGCAAGTCAGAAGGGGTCTCCTGGGCCATCTAGTCTTACCCCTGGCACAAGCTGGCTCTGCTCATATAATGTCCAACATCTGGGTGTCCAATCTGTCTTTGAACGCTCTCACTGATGAGGCCCCCACCACCTCCCATGGAAGCCCATTCAATATCCTAGGGGTCCTCAGCATCAGGAAGTACTTCCTGACATCCAACCTAAAACCCGGTTCCTTTAGCTTTGCCCCACTGGATTATGTCCTTCCCTCCACCACAGGGGAGAACAGGTTATGACCCTCTACCTTGTGATGTCCCTTCACATATCTAAGTTGCTATAAGATCCTCTCACAGCCTCCTCTTCTCCAAGCTGAAAAGTTCCAGTTCCCTCAATCTCATCTCATATGGCATCCCCCATCCCCCCCAAAAAATCAGGCTACCATCTGGCTACCTGCACTGAACTGATTCTAACCTTGCTGTGTCCCTCTTGTAATGTGGAACCCTGAATTGGACAAAATACTCCAGTTGTGGGCACACCAGAGTCTTGTAGAGCAGCACCAGCACCTCTCTCTATCTGGAAGCCACACCTCTGGCTATACATCCAAGAACTGCTCATCACCAGGGGCAGCTGCATCCGGCCTCAGAGCCCAACAAGCCATTGTGTGGCAAAGAATCTTGGAAGGGAGATGGAAGTGAGAACATGCTAAGTTAGTATTCACAGAAGGTTTAATTTTATCTCTAGATGGCTGGATTGGGGTACAAGATTATTATTTTTTAGGTCACACTATGTGTGTTAATTAGCAGAAGTAGCCCCCCAATGTTTGTTATAAGCAGAAACTGTTTGTGGATGGCCGCTATCAATATTTCTTTATTATTTAATTATTAAATTTATTTAAAAGCCACCCATTAGCAACATGCTCAATAGTTTGATCATTATTTGCTGTACTTCCTGCATGTAATATCCTTCTGACCTTGCTGCCCCATTGTATGTACTAAATATCCAGGCCTCTGAGAAACGATTCATGCATCTAATGAAGTGGGCTATAGTCTGTAAAAGTTTATGTCCAGGCAAATTTTTTAGGGTTTGGGGTACCACAAGACACTTTGCTATTAGAGACTTAACAGGGAAGCCCCTCTGAAAGTATTCAAAAAGGGGTTTCCTCCACTACTTCTGTGAAGAATGAAAAAGCCCTTAGGTTCTGTTTTTCATAACAACCTCTTTCAAATGAGGCCACAAAAATTTTAATCTCTAGTAAAATTATGGCTATCTCATGTTGACTCTTGAGCAACTAATAAGTCAAATATATAAATACAGGATGAATTATATTAGAAATGGAATTATAAAAGTGTTCCCCTACATAATTTCAGTTAAATGATAAGAGCTTTATTTTAAAGAATTTAAATGTATGCCAAGTTGTTGGGAGTGTGAGGCAGCACGTCAGAGGGCTGAACTCAGGAGAAGTACGAGATTATGGCTTTTATGCCGCACTGTGACCTCTTGAGCAAAAGAGGGGGAAATGGGCACTGAGAAATGCAGCAGCAAAGACTTGGAGAGGGGATGTGGAATGGCAAGGGAAAAAGTTGTCTTAAGCAAGGCAGCCTGCTGCTAGGCAGGGCTGAGCAGAAATGACTCATGTGAAGAGGCCATTTTGCTTTCCTCCTTTTCCTGCATGGCACTGGGTCATCTACCTCTAATAAAACTGCTCTTCTGTATTGTCTGGATGACATAACAAACCACCTTGGGTGACCCCAACCCTAGAACAAGTCATAGCTTCTCTGGATATCTTGTTTGAGCAAAACAAGCCACCGTGAGAGAGGCCGAGCCCACTTGGATGACAGGATAACCCACTTGCACTAACAAATCTGAATCCAGCCACTGTGTCCTTGCTCTCTGGCCTCCTGTGAGTAGTCTAAAATCAGACAGCATTTCTCTTTCCAAAATAGCTCCTTGGAATCTAAATTACAATTGAATACGGAGAAGCAGAAATCCTCTGCTCTCTTCTTTCCGCAATACTTGTTCTTCATTTTTGTTTGTGGCACTAATATAAATACTGCATTTACAAGCAAATACAGTGGAAGTAGTTTTAGAAATTGCATGTTTTCTTATGGTCTCTCATTTTCTTTTGGACTGGGAAAAAACAGGTTTTCTCTCCTTACCTTCTATTTCTTTTTTCTTTTCTTTTTTTAAAGATGCATGTATGTAGAGCGATGTCTGTGCTCTGTATTTCTTTGGTGACATTTCCTTTCCCTGCTTTCTGGACTACTGGGATGAACTTTGTGTTTTCATGAAATGAATCATGACTGCCAAGAAATGAACCTGTTAATTTGCTACTTTCCCTAACATTTTCACGAACTTTGCAGCTTTTTAATTATTATTTTGGGAATATTCCAGGGGCATCTGAAAGACCCTTTCTTGATATGATGGATATTGCTTGCTAATATAGATAGCACTGTGACCTTTCATCGTCAGACTAGAGCACTAGAACGAAAGGGAAAGCTGTGGAGTTAGAAGGAACTGTAGCCCTGTAGTGCTTAAAAGAAGCACGCATTTAACATATGCAGTGTTTCCCTAAAAGTTGGGAGCATTTTAGGTAATATCTTAACGATCATGTCTGTTGTTGCCAACTATAGAACACTATGTACATCTTATGGGAAGGACATAATAGCAATGGCGAAGGATATACAGGAGGCCCTAGGCATTTCCAGTTAAAAACTTTTCACATTAACAAGTCAGAGAAAGACTTCTGGAGGCTTTGAGGTGACAACAGTAATGGGCTCTTGCTCAGGAATTTGGAATATCTTTCTGTCTGAGGACTGAATTCCGTTTTGGAGAAGTTCTTGCAGACTGTATTCCAGGTGGGCAGGTGACAGACAAAATACAAAGAGATGATGATGATGATGATAATTTAGCATCTATTTAGGATAGTTTACTTGTAAAGTTCTTGCTATCAATTAAGGGATTCCAGTTCATTAGTCCTGCATTGCTGCCATGGTGTGACTTAAGATAGCTCAAGGATTTCGGTAAGCTAGACCCACAATTAGAACATTTTTTAAAAAGCATGAATGAAATTTGTGCAAATCAGTATCCCAAAACCACATGGCTGTAGAATGATTTTTTCAGAATAAGCCAATCTATGAAAATCATGCTAGAATCACATGCTTCTAAGTTGCTTATTTGTGCATATTTCATTAGTGGTTAAAAATAGCGCATACAAAAAGCTCATTTAAGAGATGGATGTCTTCGGAGTGTATGTAGGAGGGACACACACAGCCTGCTTCCAATCATTGGATCAGAAGTGGGCTGGACATCTGTTGAGCTTGGCTGAACCTGTAGCCATATGAATTGTATTCACTCCCTACATAGAGGGGTTTTTTGCATGCTTTGCAAAATCTAGGAAAGTGCCATAGTGTAAATGCAGAAGAAAAGAAAAGGGAAGTAAGTGTTGCATCTCTGTCACAAAGAGCTCAAAATCTAAAATGTATTAGTGCTGATAGAACAAAAGAAAGAGAAGAATGCTTAGAGAAGGAAGGGCAGCAAGGGATAAATTTGAGCAAATGTAGTTATTGGTATTTGGTTTTTGTGGGTATTTGTACTACGGCATCTAGCCAAGCTTGTAAGAAGATTTTGCTGGATGTTAAAAGCAGATTTTCACCTTCTGATAGATATTTAGATTGTGCTATAGAAATGAAGCTGCTGGCTATAAGTTCCTGTTGACCATTTTCAGTGTCTGGTAGGTGATGTGGCTGCTTGACAATAATGATCCACTGGGGAAACAGATTTCACAGCCTCCTGCAATTTTCTGATGCAGAGTAATCTATTTAATTCTAAATTAGAGTACAGAGAATAAAGGAAAGGGAGAGCAAGCCTCCCTTGGGAAAATCCCTCT